GAAAGACCGAAGTACACTGCTGAGGGGAGCATCGGGCGGCAGGAGAGGTCTGCGGGCCGTGTGGGACCCTCCTCCTGTGGCCGGGGAGCAGCCGGAGATCGAACCAGCACTGCAGAGGCTGCGGGCAGCTTTGCAACCCAGCGCTCAACTGCTGCGCCACCTCGGAGGCCCACGATTTATTTATTTATACAAGCACTGGGTACAGTCAGAAACGCGGGAGGGTGAGGGAATATATACTAAACAAACATATTCTAAATAAATATATTTTGCCATCCTTTAACTCTCTGTCTGTAAAGCTAACGCTCTGTAAAGCTAAAGTGAGTCTTTGGAAGCAGTATATTGTTGGAGCAGGTTTGTTTTTTTTTTTTAATAATAAATTTTATTTTTATATTCCCCATACCATTGCAACCCCCCCATTCTGACCCCAATCCCTCCCCTCCCCCCCCCCCCCCCCCAAAAAGTGTCTCTGGTTCATAGTTTTTTCTTGATTTTGATTTTCACTTTCTTATAGTTACTCATTTTCCTGGTCCCTTATTTAAGTTTTCTAGATTCCTGCTATGAGTGAGACCATCCAGTATTTTTCTTTTTCTTTCTGGCTTATTTCGCTGAGCATGATCCCTTCCAGCGCCATCCATGTTGCTGCAAATTGCATGTGTTTATCTTTTTTGAATGCTGAGTAATATTCCATGGTGTATATGTACCACATCTTCTTGATCCAGTCATCTATTTTTGGGCATTTGGGTTGTTTCCAAAGCTTAGCTATTGTAAATAGTGCTGCTATAAACATAGGGGTGCAGGTGCTCTTTGGAATTGATGTTTCTGTGTCCTTTGGGTAAATACCTAGGAGTGGAATTGCTGGATCATATGGAAGCTCTATGTTTAGTAGGTCCAGAAATCACCACACAGCTCTCCATAGTGGTTGGACCAGTTTGCACTCCCACCAACAGTGCAGGAGAGTTCCTTTTTCTCCACACCCTCGCCAACATTTGTTGTTGCTAGTTTTTTTAATATGTGCCATTCTCACTGGTGTGAGATGGTATCTCATGGTAGTTTTGATTTGCATTTCCCGAGCAGGTTTTCTTTTAATCCATTCAGCCATTCTGTCTTTTAATTGGAAGATTTAATCCATTTATGTTTAAAGTAGTTATGGATAAGTAAAGACTTGCTATTTTCATTCTGTTGTTTTCCACCTGTGTTTTAGAGCCTGTGTTTCTTGCTTTCTCTCTTGGCATCTTCCTGTGTGATTGATGCCCTTTTTAATGATATGCTTTGACTTCTTTATCATAACCATTACAAATATACTACTGGTTTTTCCTTTGTAGTTACCATGAGGCTTACATAAAATTTATTTTTAGGGCCTCCCTGGTTGGCGCAAGGGGTTAAGATACAACCTATGAAGTTATTCACAGCCACTGCAGCACAAATTCAATCCCTGGCCAGGTAGATACCCACACAGCACAGGAGACCTCTCCTGACTCACCCACTGCTCCCCTCAGCAGTGTATTTCAGTCAATCTGCCTGTTCTGTTCCCCACTCTGTCTCTGGTGAATCCTCTCACCTCCCACACCTCTGGCCTGTACCCCAGTTCTTGTATGCATAAATAAATAAATCTTTAAAAAAATTATTTTTAACATTCTATTTAAGCTGATAACTATACTAGCCACATTTTAAGTTACTGATACAATTTATACTGTGTATTCAATAACAAAGTATTGTAATTCAGGTTATTTTTAGTACATTTGGTTTTATACATTAATGTTAATTTACCATTTATACAATCAATTATATATTCGTAGCAATTATCAATTAGTATATAATTACTAATTTAATACTATTAAGATAAAATTATAAATGGATTATGTATCACCATTGCAATGTGACTTTGACTGCATATATTAACCATTTCCAATAAATTTTACACATTCATGTGTCTTTAGGTTTCTGAATAGCTTCCTTTCATTTCAGCTTGAAGAGTGTCCTTTAGCATTTCTTGTAAGGCATGGCTAGTGGTGATAAACATTTGTTGCGTATTTCTTTGAGAAATCCTTTATCCATTTCTGAAGGACGGCTTTGTCAGATATAATATTCTTGGCTGGCCTTTCTTTCAATATTTTGAGTATATTCCTTCCTTTCCCAGCCCAAGCCTGTCAGGTATTTGTTGAGAATTCTACCTATATACCCCTATGGCAGCTCTATTGTGTGATGAGTTGCTTTTCTTTTGCTGCTTTGAGGATTATTTTTGTCTTTGACTTTTTTTTTTTTAAAGATTTATTTATTTATGCATACAAGAACTGGGGTGTAGGCCAGAGGTGTCGGGGGCGGTGTTAAGAGGATGCACCAGAGACAGAGTAGGGAGCAGAACAGGCAGATCCACTCAAATACACTGCTGAGGGGCGATGTGGTTGAGACAAGAGAGGTCTGCTTCGCTGTGTGGGTTAGCTCCCTGGCCAGGGATCAAACTCATGCTGCAGTGGCTGGTGATAGCTTGATAGTACTGAGACTTTAACCCCTGTGCCATCAGGGAGGCCCCTCCTTTCAACATATTTTCAGGTCTCTGGGCCTCAAGAATTTGGAGGTCCATTTCTCTCCCCAGGTTGGGAAGTTTTCAACTATCATTGCTTTAAATACACTGCCTCTATATTTCTCTCCTCACTTCTGGGGTTCCCATAACACATGTATACTTTCTTGTGAAGGTATCTAGTAAAAGTCTAAAGACTTTCTTTACTCTTTTTCATTCTTTTTCCTTTTGTCCTTTGGATAAGTTTAACCTATCATCTAATTCATAGTTCTTCTGGTTGGTTGAATCAGCTGTTGAAGATATCTTCAGTTCAGTCGTTATAATCCAGGTCTAGAATTTTTTTTGGATGGCCTCTTGTTGAACTTTTCAGACTGGTCATGCATTGTTTTCATAATTTTGTTCAGGTGTTCTTGAGGCTAGTAAGCATTTTGAGGTTTGTTCTGTATCTCTTTCTGGTCAGATCATCCATACTACTTTATATTGTCAGGGTCATCTACTGGAGCTTTACTAGCTTCCATTGGCGGTGACATATTTACGTGATTCTTCATGATCCTTGGTTCCTTAGATTGGCATCTATGCATATAAGTACTCTCCTCTTTCAGGCTTAGCAGGTTTGCCTCAGTAGGGAAAGACTGTCTTCATTAGTAAGCTCACCTTGGGGTACCCGAGTGTCTGTTAGTAACATCAGTGGGTAAGCAGGGCTTGCTGCTACAGCTGCTAATTGGGTAGGGCACTGTCTGTGCTCTGAGGTCATTGCTGTTGGCTGGGTTCTGTGTTTGGGTGGGTCTGCTTGCTGGGCTCCATGTTCAAGCAGAGCTGTTAGGTAGGCTCCCTAATTGGGTGAGTCTGTAGACTTTGCTTTTGTGGGGCCACTAGATGGGCTCTGCAGTTACATCTAGCCCAGCAGGGTCACTGGCTGGGCTTCTGGCAGACAGTGCCACAGGTTAGATTCTGCGATTAGGCAGGGCTATAGATTAGGCAGGGCTATGGGCAGTTGCTCCTGCCTGAGTGGGGCCTCAAGCTATGCTTCCTGACAAGATAGATGATGCCATTCGGTGGGCTCTGTTAGGGTTTGGCTGCAGGTAGGTCTTTGTGGTTGAAGTGGGGTTCCTATTAGGTAGGGCTTCCTCTATGGAGAAGATTGTAGGCTGTTTAGTAATCAGCTGTAGGCTGGTCTCAGATAGCTGCTCATGGTCACTGTTTAGGTTCCTTGCTTATGTGGCACCAGAGGCTGTGTTCAGTCATTGGGCAGGACTATTGGCTGCCCCACATCTGAGGAGGGCTATAGGATAGCTATAGGGCTATAGGGCAGCCTCCAAGGCTGCCCCAGTTTTCTGGATAAATTTTCTGGATGTTGGGACTGGAGTGTGCAGCAGTTGAGTGGGACTGTAAATTTGCTTATCTGCTTGGGTGCAGTCATAGAATGGGCTTCAAAATTGAGTTTGGTCTATTGACTGGAGACCCAAATCAGGCAGAATTGCCAACCAAGCTCTCTGGCCAGATGGGACTACCAACTCTGCTCCACAGATGGGCAGAGCCACTGGTTGGGATCTCTGTGCATGCACCCCCTGAAGTGAGAATGCGGTCCACCAAGATCTGAGTGTTGCTTACTGAAGCTCTGTCCCCTTTCTCTGTCTGATTCCAAGTGGCCCCCATAAGGTAAGGCCCAGGTGGACCTTCCAGGAAACATCTGAAAACACTAGGGAACCTGAATGTCCACCTTCTGCTTTATTTTCGCCTCTGGGGACACTGTATGCTCAGTGAACAAGTAATCCAGTCAAGTAAACATGATCTCACCAGAGCGGGTTGTTGTCAGAGTATAGCTTCTCATCTTACCTTCTCATGCAGCCCTTGTTAGTCTCTAGTCCAGCATGTGCTTCATCCTCATTTCTGGGATTTTTACACTAGTGTCTTGCTTTTGGTCTTCTCAGGAGAACTGACATTGGGAATAACCCGTGTGGCCATCTTGATGTTGTCACTGAAATCAGCATTCTGGTCTTGAAAGAAATAGAGCTACGTGGGACCCACACAGAACTGCCCCTAACAACTGTACCTCTGTCCCCCCTTTTCACGATCAGCTCTCCTGTATGTGTTCTGTCTGTCCTCCTTTCCCTTTTGTGGCTCCTCTTCAAGACAGGCCTTTATCCTGCTTTGACCTGGCAAAGAATATTTGGGGACAGAAAAAAAAAAACTGATTGTTGCAGATCCACTCGCTGCAGGCTCATCCTTCCTTTGGCTCCTGAGTTCACGTGCACCTTTATTGGCCAGGTGCTATCCTGGCTGTTTTGGTTGCTTGCCTCTGACGTGGGCCAAGGGAACAGGGTCATTTGGGGCAGTTTTTTTGTAGTAAAGCCCTGAGCCTGCCTTGTGGCCATGAGGGGTGGCATTCTGTGAGGAGGGTGCGTTGCTCATTTAGACAGGGAAGTTTTGCATTAGCCAGTTATTGCTTGGTAACTGAAGAATACGGTTTGCTTTTTTTAAGGTACAATTAAAGAATCTGATGTGAAGCACAAGGGATTGATTGAAATACCCAACCTTTCTGAAGAAAATGAAGTAGATGACACTGAGGTGAAGTATCTGATGGGGTTTTTATCTTTTTTTAAAAATCAAGCTTCTGCTATAGATATTGGGAATTTGAAAAGCTGTTTATCATGTGGTGTGTGATTCCTGGGAGTAGTTTTGGTGAATTTTGGAGGACTCCATGGCTGAGAACTGCAGTACCGTGGGGCGGGCAGCAGGAGGTGTGGCGCAGTGCTTAGGAAAAAGGTAAGCGCAGGAAGCCCTAGATTGTCCCAGGGGCCAGGCACGGAGGGTGGACAGGTTACTGCCCGATATCGCCTCCTACTCGGTGGGATTAATTCCTCTTCCCCAGGGTGCTGTCAACTAAATATGACAGTGTTGGTATATAAAGTGCTGAGGCACTTGCACAACTTGGCAAATGGTATTTTTTCCTCCTCCCTTACCCTGTTCCTGTTCCCCTTTAATAGTGAGAATTCTCAGCTTCTCTGTGATCCTGGCTGTATCCCATGTTTTTCATACTGCGTGTTTTTTCCTAATCTTGTCAGTCTGCGTCCCTTTTGGGAGATAGGATCGGGCCTGGTAACGCCCGGGCTTGTGTTTCAGTTAGTGCCCTGCGCGAGCCGCCAGCTTGATTCCGGGGTCAGACCATTTGTACAGTAGCTTTATTTTCCAAACTAAGGTAGTTTGACAGAGGGGCTTTCTTGATTTTTTTGTGAATATATTCAATGTGAAATTCTTCAAAGATTTAAAAACTAAATCATACTGAGCAGCTTGTCTGTGACTGGCCTTTATCAAGGGCTATAAAATGCCATGACCCGGGCTGTCTCAGACCTCTCTTCAGACGTGTGGTGGGTGCTGTGTGGTTCCGGGGCTGGGAGGTCAGTGTGTTGTATCCATCAGCTGAGGAGATTTTCATCGGCCTGGTAAACTGGTCTTCTCGTTCCAGCCGTGTCACTATGGAACAGACTCTTTACATTGGACCAGCTCCCCGGAGCCACAGCGACACTAATGCCTCCAAACCACGCCTCTTCCTTCTGAGTAGACCGCAGAGGCATCCCCAGAGCAGCATGAGGATGCTTGCGTCTCTTCTCCCTCCTCGCCACCACCCCTGTCCCTTCTCTTTCCTCCCTCCCTCTCTTCTCTCACCTTTTTCTGTCCTTTCCCAGCTCTCTTCCTTGCCAAAAAAGGTTAAGGCCAGCTTAGGTGGAAAGGTGATGCTCCAAATCACAATGGTTGTGAGGTTCTAGACCAGCGCTGTTCAATAGAAATATATTGTGAGCCACATAGAACTAAAAATTTTCTAGCAGCCACAAAAAAGTTAAAACAGGTAAAATTAATTTTCATCTTTTTCATTTCACCCAAAATATTAAAAATATTCTTACATGTAACTAATATCAAAATTATTATTTTACGTTCTTTTGTTTTTCTCTAAGTCTTCAAAATCTGGTGTGTGTTTATGTTTATAGCACATCTCAGATCAGCCACATTTCAGGTGTCCAAGAGCCACATGTGGCTGTGGCTCCCAAACTGGACAGTGCATTTCTAGATCCTGATAAAAGCTGGGGACTACATGATCATATAACAATATAATACAAACAAAATTTTGTATGCAGATTAAGAAATTTATTCAAGATTCAGCAACCAGCGCAGGCAGTAGAGCTTTGATTTAAAAGCCTTTGTATCTTGTCAAGCTATATGCAGAAGCCCAGCTCATCTTTTACATCCACTTCTTTCCCTTTCCCTGCCATCAGAATTTTCTCATCCATGTGTCCCAGTGTTTGTAAGAATACATCAAACCAGACTTTTCTTAGATTTGTATTTTTCTGATTTGTAGGTGAACATGAGTAAGAAGAAAGGAGATGGGGATATACTGAAGGATCTTATGAAAACTGCAGGCACCGCCAAGGTCAAGGAGGCCCTTGGAGATTACCTGAAGGCACTTAAAACAGGTAAAGAAGGCATCCCTTTTGAACCAGCGGGTCCCTTTTCTATTTATCCAAGTTACGTGTTTATCCAAATAATACTGTGGGTGGATTCCCAGGTCAGGCTGATGTCTAAGGTTCCAGAAATAATTCTTTATGCTGCAGGGTATATTGAGAGCTGGAGGATGAGAGCTAGTCAAGAGTAAGACCATAACTGGTTATTATCATTACTGTACACAATGTGAGAACCATTTTGCATACAGAATTGCCATAGTAGTTTTCTGAAATATTTATCAGTTGATTGTGTAATTATTTGTTTAATGTCTGTCTTCCTTGCTAGACTATAAGCTCCATGAGGGCATGGAAGGTGTCTGTCTTGTTCACTGCTGTATCTCCAGCATCTAACACAATGCCTGGCACATAGTAGGTGCTTAATACATCTTTGTTGAATGAATGAATGAATGAATGAATGAAAATGGTGACAGGTGTAACAAGTGTAGTTGTGATTTACCTAGGTAAACCCTACTCTGAGTGGAAATGAAATTGTCTTCTTCCCTAAATTAGAGTAGTAGTTCATCAGGAAAAATGTCTCCTGTGTGTCTCCTCCTTAAACTCTGCCATGAGGATCAAGATATTGGCATAGCTGGGTCTGGGATCACCACTCTGCCCATGTGACTGACCCACTGCTGAATGCTGCAAGGCCAGGCTTTGTGAGGTGGTGGTGAAGCACTGTTTATGTCCAGCTCTGACAATAGGTGAAGGTGAATTTGTGTAACACTGAGCTTTTTGAAAAAGGACATCTGAAAATGTTGCTGTTTTAGCAAGAACTAGATAAAGTGAGACATTACAAGAGTAAGGCAATTGTTGCTATGGAACGTGTGTTTATAATTAGTTTGGTGTGTGATAACATGAAATGGTCCTGAAATTCTGTAGAAATGCTATAGGGACTACTTTTATAAAAATATCAGTTCACTGTATGCTATTTTGGGCTTTCTACCTATTCCAAAAAGGAAAAAGAACTTCATTAAAATAATTCTTTCTTTCTTTGTAGAATTTACAATAGGAATGATTTTACCAACAAAAGCAGTGGCAACTCAGGAATTGACTGTTAAAAGGAAACTGAGTGAGAGTACCTTGCAGGTATGACCTTTGGTGGCCAGTATTATGGGGATGGAGAAAAGGGAGCGCTTCAAAACCCTTCAACAGGCTTTCAGTGGAGAACCATAAAGGATGGTTGAGGAGGGCCAGTTAAGCATGTGCCCTGCCATTTTCTTCAGAAATGATAAAATGAGATTTTTTCATCCTTAATGGCAGGGAATCTATAGACAAGGCCATTTTGTGCGGCAAATACTGAATGTAGTTTGACACTGTTCTAAAGGCAGTTCTTTGGTAGCAGCAGATTATAAAATCAGGTGACTTTCAAGTTCACATGCCTCAGCGGAATACCCTCTCTCTAGACTTGGGTTGGGAGGTTTTGCTTCTTTCTTGGAATCTAGTGAGGGGACAATTGACTCTTTGGCTTTATGGCTATTGTTTTTTTTTTTTTTTTTTTTTTTTTTTTTTTTTAAGATTTATTTATTTATTTATACAAGCACTGGGTACAGTCAGAAGCACGGGAGGGTGAGAGAATTCACCAGAGCCAGGAACAGAACAGGCAGAGTGATGAAATACACTGCTGAGGGGAGCAGCGGGCATGGCAGGAGAGGTCTGCTGTGCCATGTGGGACCCTCACCGGTGGCTGGGGATCGAACCGGCGCTGCAGAGGCTGCAGGCAGCTTCACAGCCCAGCGCTCAACCGCTGCGCCACCAGGGGAGGCCCTGGCTATTGTTTTTCACCTGCTCTTTATGCCCTGTGGGCAAATAGGATTTGGGGGTGTTTAGTCTGGGACTGGAGCAGAGCCAATGAGCTGTTTCCAAAGTGAAGACCAGGATTGGTGGTGCTAAAAAGGCTTTTCGTGCTGTTTTCATGTGTCTGGAAGGAGTAGTGTGCACACTGGGACAGTTTTAAGGCTGGGAGACTGAATTGTTAAGTCTAAGTAGTTCTCTCTCTCCACACACTAATTACCCTTTGGAACCTCTTCTTGAGAGTCAAGCCTCACCTCCAGTGGCTTTGGGTGTAAGGATTCCCACTGTTGCATTGCACATGACGGAACTGTTTGACACCGCTGTAGAGCAACTGTACAGCATCTTCACTGTGAAGGATGTAAGTAACTTCTCAAGCCAGGATTTTAAATGTAGACACTGAGAGAAAATGTGCAACTAAAACCTGGAGCTGGGTTTTGGTTTCCCATAGCGATAGCCTGTGTACTTGATTGAAAGGATCTAGAATGGCTATGAAGGAAGTCTTAAGTGTAGCTCCTGAATAATTTTGGTGGTGGGGGAGATATATTCAGTGAGTTTTCAACCTCCGAAAGATAGGACGATACAAAGAGAATGCTTTAAGTAAAACTGTGTATCCGGGATGAAAAACCAACCCCACAAACCACTAACTGTTATGTTCGTATTTTACATATAGATTGAAAGGTGATCAAACATGCTGTAATTAACATCTCTACTGTGTTTTGCTTGGTTAGTTGGTGCAAAAATTTTCTAAATCTTCTGCTATATTAGAAGCTGAAAAGGGAGGGAAATTCCAAATGTTTGATGGGAATATCACCGGTGAATATATAGAACTGGTAAGTAAGCTTTTATAGAAAAGCAAGCTGGGACTGCTACTTTTTTAAAATTGCTTTGGGATTTTACCTGAACTTATGGAAACTTGAGAACTTTATAAAGCAAACAAAATATGTCATATGCTATGTAATGATAAAAATAAACCCCTCATTTTATAGTGATAGTGCAGATACTTGTCTTTCTATCCTTGCTATCAGGGACATTCTGGCAGTAGGCACAATGAATTCTCCACAATGCTGGCATGTAAACTGGAAGATAGGGCTGTATGTTTTCCATTCTTCTAGTACTTAAGTGAAAAAAAAAAAAACCCCTTAGGTGGTTTTACTGACAGGATCTGGTACTTTTCTGTTTTGTATCGTGGGAGATTCTTAAAAGCTCTTTCCAATGGAATTTCCCTTGTTTTTAGTTAACAAATAAAAAGATCGTCATGAAATGGAGATGTAGGAACTGGCCAGAAGGTACGTTTTTAGTAACTTTTAAGGATTCAAAAATATTCAGTTTCCCCCACCTTACTGTGAAGAGCAAGTAGTACTATATGTGTAAGTTTTTCTTGATGTTGCAGTTAATAAGCTTCCTGTTTTTCTTCCAGAACATTATGCAACAGTTGCATTGAATTTTGTGCCTACTCCAGGGCAAACAGAATTACAACTTGACTGTAAAGGAGTTCCTGTTTGTAAAGAGGAGAACACGAAATTCTGTTGGCAGAAGCAGCATTTTGAAGAAATAAAAGGTTTACTGCAACTGACCACCCTAAATGGTTGAATTAGATTTTATAAGGGCATTACTTTTTTGTAAGTAGATAAAATGTCAAGTTTACCTTTCCCCTGTTAGTCCTTTAAAAAAAAAAAATCTATTAATTTACATGGAATGAAATTCAAGAACTTACACAGACCTTAACACTTTGTTTGAATCTCTCCAACTAGACACTGCATTGAGTTAAAAGCAGCAATCAACCTGAAATTAGGTATTAACCTTACCTCCCCGTAGATGTTCCTGAGTTCCTGAGTACCAGAGTTGAAGTTTCTGTCTTGCTTTTCAGCTATAGTTTAGTCCAGGAATACCAAAAGTAAACAGTATGTTGATACTAGTCCTTTATTTTACTTCAGGATTTTTAAGGTGTGTGGCTCTCAGGTAGTGCAACAGTGGCATGTTGCATTGGAGATGTTAGGCTAGGCTAGTTGGCGATACTGTTATGGCTTCTCCGTGCCATTCTTGGCCTTGCAGAAGTTTCACACTTTGGGATGGAGAGGATTGAGAAGTCTACGGGCTAAGTTACTTTTTGACTGGCACTAATGCTTATAATGAAATAGAACATAGTGGGTGGCAAGCATTACCCACTCACAGTGTTCTCATTACTTTAATCTGAGAAGACTGAAGCAACATTTGTAAACAAATGAAAAGTCATCACAATCAGTTTAATTAAGTGCACAGAATAGCAATCAGTCATGTCAATAAAAATAAAACAATTATTTTTACATCAAGTGTGCTTTATTTCCTCCACAGGTATTCTGTTAAATAAAGCACCATTTATATACTGCCAGGCCACAGCTAGAGGATTCTTTACAGAATCAAATTTCTTGTGGTTGTTCCGTATACAAGTAAACTTAATTTTGATAATAAGAACCACAGCGATTGGAGGCACTCTGCCTCTATTATAAGGTACAAAACTGGCACAGAGGACACCATATTATACACAGTAAAAATGCTGTAAGTTTAAATTACATTGTACAGGGCTAGGGAACCCTGTTCTTCCCAGACAGCCTTATTAAATGAAAGCCACTACAGTGAACTCTTAATTACATAAAACATATCCATTATCTGATTGCCCTTTAGAAAGTATACTGAAGATGCAAATTTTTTCATCTGGAGTTCTGCCTGACCAAGAATTATGCCTATAAATCTATCTTGCCATTCAAGCAGAGAGCACTGGACAAAATGAAGCACAAAAACAAATAAGCAAAACTTATACAAACAGCATTGTGGGAAAGGGGAACCTTAAAAGTAGACATGCTACACCTAATGTCAAGAAGCAGCTTGGTTTCCTTTGCCAGATATCCTTGTGACCACATGGATCGTAGATTCAATGGTCCTGCATAGGGTATCTAAAATGTCGTGTTGCTGCATGTGACTAAAGAGTCCTCTGGAATGGCCACAACTAAGTGATAAAGCAGCCTCGGGGTCCTGGGAGGGCACAGTTTGACCATCACAACTTCTCAAGTCAGCTAAGTCAGAGAGAACTGCAGAGATAGAAGTAGAAGGGAATTCGGAGTCTTCCTCAGCTAGGTTAGAATCCTTGGTACAGTGGAGGTCTTTAAATTCTTTACTATCTTCAAATCTACAACTGTTGGACTGTTCTTCTACATGCTGTGACCTGATAGTTGACATGTCTTCTGAAAATGAAGATGAGACTTCCATTCGGTATTCTTTAACAGAACTATTTTCAGGGGAAGGAAGATCTTGTTCAGTTCCTGGGTCGATAATTGAAGAGTCTCTTGTCTCATTGTCTGAAGTGCTAGTTGGGGTCAGGACCTCCCTGGTTTCCGTTTTCATGTCGCTGATACAGCTGTCTACAGTGTGCTCCTCATCACTGCTCACACGTCTTCTTTTAACAGGAGTTGCCCCTTCATCATCTGTGAAAATGAACATCAAAACAACATCTGAGAGGGGTCTTTAAAGATCACACTGGGGGCGGGGGTGTTTGTGGAAAACTTTATTTTTAGCTTTTAGATGTAGGAGGCTTCACTACATCAGCTACATGGACTGCATCCTTTCCTTTCTTCCCACCTTGAAAGTAATGATACTGCTCCATGAAACTAACCTTTAGTTTTTCTTTCTTTGGCTTCTTGCTCTTGGAGTGAGTTTCTTTGCTGCAGACAAGTCCTGCATTTGCTTAAAAGCTCTTGCAGAGTTGGAATTAGAGCTGGATTTAATTGTTTGGGAGTGTGTACTGAAAGGAGTAAAGCAAGTGCCCGCAGGTCCTACAAAAACCCAGAAAGGAACATCTCAAATTCCAAAGCCAACATTTTGACAGTTGTTTACAATTTAATGTACATGTTTACTTTTCCAGGAATCCATCCTGATTTCTCTGGCATTTTCAGAAGAATGCTGACTGCAAAAAGCCAGTGTTAGGTATTACTATATTTCACCAATTCATTATCTTATGTTCTGCACCACTAAGTCAGACTCAAATAGTGTTTTTCCGAAAACAGAACAGGAGGAAAAACAGGCATTTTATTAAAAAAACACTAGGTGATCCATGGGAAACTTAGGCCTGGTTCTTGAAATCAGTTCGTGAATATGTTGATTTCCAGTAGATGTCACAAATATAGTCTTCCTCACTTGGCTGTATAATAATCTGTTCTGGCATGTAAGCATCTTGTTACCTGGAGGATGCTGTCTGATGATGTGCTGACATCACTATCACAGGCAACTATATACAAGGTTAACTAATTCCTTAGTGTTAACTGTCTTTATAGTTAATAGATCATTAGATCAATGGCATAATATTGGGTTGTCAGAAAAGTCATATGACATATTTTTTTAGCAAAAATGGGTCATGACTTTCCCGACAACTCAGTAGAAACATCTTAAGTAATATTTTAAAGATGTAAACAAGTAGAGAAAGGGAATGTATCCTAATGGCATTAGATCCTGTCTTCTAAGGTAATAAAAACTTGCATTCATGAAAGGCATAGTGAACAAAGTCTTTAAAAATCTGGTCTTTTTTATCATATAACTGAGTTTCAATATTAAAAGTTATGATAAATCTAAGGCCAAATTTAGAGTTAATGTAAGACAGTTATGAAGTACATGACCATTCCCCTCTACACGTCTTACCCCATTTAAAGAAGCACTTGCTTTGGAAATTTCAACTCGGTTGGTGAAATCAGATTGCAGGCTCTGATACTGATTTATCAAGTTTGTAATAAGGGTGCTGATCAAGTTGGCACAGTTTGCTTCAGAAAACACTTGACCTTGAACCTGAAAAAGATTTTTTAAAAAATTTCCAAAAGGCCAACATAATGAAAAATCATAGTTTATTGGAAGTAACACATTGCATTTCCAAAGTACAACCTACCTTTAGAAGGAAATGTGTCATGAATGTGTAGACAATGTTGTTGTTTAGGAAAGTTCTTTCATCCATTAGGATACATTTTATATATTCTGCAAAAACAGGATCTTCACACAAAAGCTTGATGCAATTTTTTGACATAGCAGACTAAAGTGAAGAGAAGAAGCACTGAATAACTGCAAATATTAAACACTGTTTCTGATATATATCTAAAGTCATTTAAAATCCTACTAGAAAAGCCACTTTTGAACTCAATCTACTAAACTTTCAGCTATAGCAACTGTTGTCCCAAAAAGTTAAAATATTACTATCTTGGATAGTATCAGTGTCAGGGGAAGAGACTTGAACAAATGTTTTTTTTTTTTTTTTTTAATTGGATAAAATGAGATGTATCAAATAGGATTGAGAATGTTTTCTGGGGACCAATTAATGGATGATAGGTAACCAAAGCTCCTACAGAGACGAAAAACAAATTTTAAGAATTTATTCTCTAAAATGGGTTAAAATATTTACTCTGTAGTCTCATCAGTTATAATTTGAAAAAATGCCCTTTCCCTTCTATAAATATTGCAAGCAAAGGTGAACAAGCAGACCTCTTATACTCATCTTACACAGTGGGTCCCAATATATGGAAATTTTACTAAAATTTGGTTTCCCTGTTTTCAAATGGTGATGGCTCTTAAACACAAGTAGTATGTCTTTCTGCAGAAACGGTCCCTAGATTTGCATTCTAACCATGGGACTGTTTGCTTATATAGGAGATAAAATAGACATTCTTTAAAAAAATAGGAAAAAGTTTAGATAATATGCACTAGTGTATACTTATGCATTTAATTAGAGTAAGCAACCGTGGGAAGTAAACTATTCAAAGGCCGCCTACGGAACAGAGTTGAGCAGGACCAGGACTCAGGTTTTCACATCCTTGAAAATTGTCTTATTCGACCAGTCAGGGGTTCTGCATGGTGTTTTTTGCATGGTTCTAGAGGACTTCTATAGATTGGTAAGGGCTTTGGAAGATAATGGTTTGACACTGTCTTAAGGGCAGTTTTGGAGGATAGCAAATTCTATGTTGGGGGAAGCAAAGGGGAGTAGAAGACAGCAGTATAGATAAAACAGTAGGGAAACAACAGGCAATGAAAGAATACAGAAACTAAACAAAAGCAACTACTCAAATCAAGATGAAAAGAACAGTAGCAGTACAGAGAGGGTAAAAGCAGAGATGTTCTCCAATGTAGTGAATAGATGACTCAGCTAATAAAATTCAACCAGCAAGCATTTTGTGAATGCTTACTGTATTAAACTATATGATCAACATATTAGCCTTTCAAAGAGTCCTACCATAAAAAACAAAATGACATTTCTTTAGGGAATAGGTGTTCAGTTAGGGACAAGGAGAGAGAGAAACAGCTCATACAGTACCAGGTGACACACATCCATTAGAATAGAGACTACCACTGTCTAGACAGGAGGCTGTGTATTTCAGATACTCTAATGTGGGTAAAGGTTTACATCAAAGAAAGACTGACAGACTCATCTCTTCCTCAAGGGATGGATAGATGCAACTAGGCAGGAGACCAACAGTTTTTTTCCTAAAAAAGCTAGAGGGCATTCTTCGTAACCCAAACCAACCAAATGGGACTAACTGACTGATTTTTTCCTCCTCCGGGCTGCCATTCTCCCTGCACAATTTAGCAATCATTATTTAGGTTGGCACTTACTTAGAAGTTGGGAGGATATAGTGTTGCTGTCTGTTCTTAATGACAGTTAAGAAAACAAGAGCATCAGACCCTTGAAAAACTATTCCAAGGTAAAGAACAAGCGCTAAAGGACAGGTGGCTACAATGGTTTCTGCTGGAGCTGTTTGCATGGTAAAGGGGGAAGCAAGAGACAGATGGGAGAGGTAAGGGAGAGCAATGAATGGCATATGCATTCTTCCTTCCTCTAATATCTTTCTGTTTGGAACTTTTACCATACTGCTTATACTGACCTATAAGTGAGAAATTCAATTACAAACAGCTTATTTGAAAAATTGTTACAAATCTACTGAACTTTTATAAAAAACCTTAAAGGGCAACTGAATGCCCAGTGCTTAATAGTTATTACTGTTAATCATGTTTTACCTACCAAAATTCTAAAATATTCTCAATTTGCAGCCAGTTTTCAACCCATTGTTCCTAAAATTACTGACATGGTCAGTTAAGACAAAAGACCAAATCATCTAAAACTCTTTCTTTACCTGAGTCTGGCATAGCTCAGTCCAGAGTTTGGGGAACAGTGCAAGATGAAGTGGCAAACCTTCATAGGCAACTAGGACACCTAATATTTGAAAAGAAATCAGAATAGGTTATAAATTATACTACTGAGGTATTAAATGCTGCAGGTACAATATGGCTATTTCTACTCATAATTATGCATATTTTCTTATATGCATATTTTCTATATATGTTTTAGAAATATATGAAAGACTTAAAGGGGAAGAATTGATTCCAATGTCTTAATCAGTGCAGTAATTTAGAATGCAGTCACTTTGAATTTATATCCCACTCCTCATTCTTAGAAGGATCTGAGGCAACTTAAAACTTCTTGAGTGCTCAGAACTTTGCCTGGGACATTTATAAAAAAAAGGTTACTGCAAGTGGTTCCAAAGCTTTCTAGGATTAAGTTACCACTCTGCACACTGGATAATTTTCATGAAATAGACTGCAAGGGTTGGGGGGGAGGGTGGGCACAAGGTCAAGAGAATGTAGAGAATAAGAGAAACTATCATCCATAACACTTTTACCTTGTTTCTCCAAAAATAGGAAGACATACCTTTACTGTAGATTTAAGTAAACACTGCTTTAAATCTAAAAGCTTGCTCCTTGTCCCTAGGATATCTGGATATACCATACTTAGACGTATGTCAGATACCTATTTGGAGTTTCTGTGGGTTTAACCTTTTAACTATTCTAGATGTGAAGTATGTCTTTAAGAAATTTGTCCCCTTAGCCTCAAGGTGGCAATAACAGTCAAACTCCACTCCCAACCCCAGGAAAATGTATAATCATGGAGGAGAAATACAAACTATCTTCCTCCAGTTAAGAAAATTAAAAAAAAGTTAGACCTGAAGTTGGCAAATTTTTTCTGTAAAGATCCAAATAGTAAACATGTCTATGTCGTTGCCTTATGATTTCTGTTGCAATTACTCAGCTCTGTAGAAGTAATGTAGAAGAGGCCATAGGTAACACTAGTGAATGGGTATGTCTTTCAATAAATGTTAAGATCTTTGAAAATGACCTCATGTAACTTTCATGTGTCACAACATATTTATAGTAACTGAAGTGAGTTTTTTTTTTAACTAGTAAAAATGTAGAAACCATCCTAGCTTTCAAGCAGCTCAATGGTTACACAAAAACAGGCAGGATGCAACCTCTGGATTAGACCACAGATTTGAGAAAATCATAGACATTTTACCCACAAAAAGGATCGTAGGCTTCTTTGGATAACTGACTTGGGTGACTGAACTGACTTCCTTTCTATTTTTCAAGATTAACCCTGTTATAAAAAGCAAGAAAACCATCATCTTCTTTATCTTAAGCTAATCTGTTTGTATTGGAAGCATTTATTTACCCACCATGAATGATAACACACAGGCAAATGAGGGCATGTTGTCAAAACTGCTGCTGTAAGGAAGAGCTCCTATGTGCTCATGTTCCTACATAATTACCTATACAAGTAGAACAGAAGCTGGCAAACTGGCAGGTCAAATCTGGCCCACGACTTGTTTTTGCGTATCATTGTGAGCTAAAAAGGGCTTTTACATTTTGAAAGTTTTAAAAACACAAAAACAGCCAAGCAAAAGAATATGCAACAGATCACAGTGTGACTTGCTAAGTCTAAAATATTTAATATCCAGTCATTTGCAGAAGGAGTTGGCCAAGGCTTGAACGATATAGGCTGCCTGTATACTAAAGTCTCTTTATCCCCCACTACCCCCGACACTTCAGTTATTCCCAAAGTAAAACAATCTTTATTCCTACACAACTACCAAAAAGCTAGCACCATCACAACAAAAAGGCATGGGGGCCTTCTATGATCTATTATCAGCTCCAAGTAGTATTCTCTTACAAATGTCTTCATTTTACAATCGAAGGAAACAACTATGAACTGTTATCTGTCAGGTATGTCAGATGATCACTTAATTTTCTCATCAACTTTGGGAGGCATTATTTCTGCTCCCCTCCCTTTTTTGGGAGCAAATTAAGCTCAATGAGCTCATGTAATCTGCTCAGGTTAATTCCAAAGTCAGTGATCATTAAGAGTTAAAAGTCTTCTCCAGTTATCTGATTCTAAAGTCCATAATCTTTTCAATAATCAGTGTTTTACCAAATGCTAATCATTCATGTATCATTTTTATGACTAACATCGATCACCTCTACTGTTAATATTTAGATAATAAAACATCTGGGAAATTGTAGATTTGGTTACTAAATATTTTTATAATATTGCAAAAGTCAAACACATTAATGCGCTTGATTTTCCCTGACCCATCTTGTATACCACATTTCGGAGAACACTGCTATCAACAGTGAGCTGAAGACAGTTCTTTCATACTCCCACCTATTCACCTCCTAGCTGTACCCTCTTTGGAAGGAAGGTCGTTCCGTCAAAGCAACAGAAATTCAGTTTCTAGCATTTTCAAAAAACACTGCAGATCTGAAACATTATGGCTCTTTGACTCAAGAAGAAACACCAATGCTGTTCTGTTCCACTCTCCTTCAATACCTTCTGGAGTGTCTCACTACTTTGCACAGGAGATACAAGCACCAGAGTTCTTAAGCATATATCCAAGTCTTGTCTTGGCAAACAGGATGGGTAGGCCTAAAGTGCTGCTTTCTGTGACTTTATCCTGTGATAACAGGGTCTACAACTCACTCATCCCCCCCCCTCCATGAACTAAAACACAATAATCAAAAACTGTTTCAAACATCCTTTTCTCACTTAGTAATATCCCTTATCTACTATTAGAAGTTAATGGGTGTGTTAAGAGAAACATCTTAAAAACTGATTTTGTAGTAAAATGGTGACCAGATGACTGCTGTGAAATATTTTATATGTGTATATATACACACCACTTAGGGGAGGTTCTCCTATCTGAATTCTTATAATTCTTTGTCTAGTTGTCTATAGAAGAAATCCAAGCATTTCCATGGGAAGTGGGTAGCTTTAGTCAATGGATGGAAAAAAGCCCAAGACTAATGTGCCACTGCAAGACTGAATGCTTAAGAGTATCACAAATTTGATTCTTCTACTTCCCCTTTTCTGACTTCATAGGGCTGAGCAACCCAGTGTGGTTATTAACCCAGCTTCCCATGTAGGTTATTGGAAAAAACCTGCTAGCTGTACTAAGTAATATTCACATCCCTATGCTTTTGTAAGTTAACAAACTGGTAACTTATGTCTATTAAATCACTATATATTAATCTAGGATAAATGGATTTGCCCTTGGTGGACTGGAAACAGCTGGCTTCTAACCTGGACTCTATGAATGGCACTGCTCTGAAGAATACCCACCATTTAAGACCTTTTTGGGAAACTAAATAGTCTTTCTGCAATCAGTACAACCCTGACATCACAAAGAAGTGAAGCATGAACAAGAGTTGTGCTTTTAATAATTTAAACCTTTAATCTGCTTACTTTTAGCAACTATACTTTTTCAATCTAGAGATTTTGAACATCTTGTATTTTCCAGGTACATCATATTACTTGTTAAAGTTATTCTTTCATTTGCTAATGCATCAACATTTCAAGAACAGTGTTAAAGGTGATGGCCTCATTGCTGAAAAAAACTGAATGATGAAATCTAGGGATTTGTTACTGAGTTTAATTTTACATGTGAACCATGATACCTAAATGATACCATGAGATCTGTAATATAAGTTTTCTACAGTACTTAAATATGTGGTTTTTTTCTTTCCCAGATACAAAACCAATGCATGCTCATTACAGGTAATTGAAACCATACAATAGTTAAACTACAAAATAAAAACATCCCATAATTTAATTTTTATACAGTTGAGAGTACAATCCTGTTTTTTTCTTTGCATGTAATGAGTAATCTTTCCCTTCATTTATAAGAATATGGCTTATTTTCTAATTTTTTCATGTAATCAAGTTAATTCCTTTTTGTTTTAAAGACTATAATACAGATGAGCTGTGCTTTATTTACTCCTTCCAATGGACATGAGTTCCAGTTTTTATCAATACAAAACCATGGGAAAATAAACACCCTCTGTATACTGTTACACACTTTTACGAGTAGAATAGGATGGATTCCTACAACTGGTATTACTGGTCAAATGGCATGGATATCCTACAGTGATAATGCAAAGCTGCCTACCCAAGGTGGCTCCATTCTAAGATCTCTCTACCCATTCTGTTTAAGATGTATGTCATCTAAACTTTATCTCAGTTTCACAGTGAGGGGAAAAAATCATTGATTAATTAGTAAGGTTAGGCAATCTTCTTATATGGTTACCAAACACTTTACTTTTGTGTTTGTGTAAACTGTTCGTGTCCTTTGCTTAAATTAGTTATTTAACACTGTTTTGTATATTGGCAATATTAGGCCATTTATTTGTTAAGAATGCACATATTTTTCTCACTAACACTTTGTATTTGATTACTTCGATCTGTGGCATTTTCCAGCATACATTATTTTTAGTTTTATCTGTAATAAGAATTTTTCATTTTTGTTTCCTGCTTGCTTACTATGGTTATTTCAAATCTCAAGGTAGTATCCATGATTCTATGCTTTTCCTTTTTATTTCTATGATCCTGGTTTTTTTTTTTTTTTTTTTTGGTAATTAAATCTTTTAATCCTCCTGGAATTTATTTTGGTTTAACTAGTAAAAAAGTAATAAAACCCTGCCCTGGAATGCTAACCAATTATCTTAATAGTACCAATTCTCTGTCAGACTGACTACTATGTATCCTCATAACCTTATTATTTGTTTTGGGACTATTATTCACTATTCTGCCTGTGTGTGCACGTATATCACTTGGTTTCAATCGTCAGTTTACTTTTATGAAAAAAAAGGGCAGGAAAAACTGTCATTTGCTGTTTTTATGGAAAAGAAAATGAAAGTGGAGTGTAGGTATGTGAGTGATATGATAATGTATATCTTTCTGACATTGTTTTGAACTGTAAACTATGTATATGTGTCAAATACTAAAAAATAAAATAAAACCCCTATCTTTAGTATTTTAGACATCAGTAGTTCTAGTCCCTCATTATTACTTATTTTCAAAATATTTCTGGCTAACCTTTGTTCTTTTTAAGTATCAAAATACTATGTTGGGCCTCCCTTGTGGCGCAAGGGGTTAAGACGCAACCTATGAAGCAAACAGTCAGCCACCACAGCAAGAATTCGATCCCCGGCCAGGGAGCAACCCACATGGCGCAGCAGACCTCTCCTGTCTCACCCTCTGCTCCCCTCAGCAGTGTATTTTGGTCAATCTGCCTGTTCTGTTCCCCACTCTGTCTCTGGTGGATCCTCTCACCGCCAGCACCTCTGGCCTGTACCCCTGTTGTTGTATGCATAAATAAATTGTAAAAACAAAAAACAAAACACTATGGTGTCAGACACACTGTTATTTCCTACAGCATTCAGTAGCTTTGTTCACCCTCCCTGAATTCTCTTCTACTTCATCTTTCTCTGTCTCTTAAACCCAAGCCTATTATTATCAAAAAGCATTCCAATCCCCCCTTTGATTACTATTTAAGAGTTCTATCCCCTGCAATTCTAATTTATAATTATTACACAGTTCACTTCTTATCCCCTAATAAATCTTAAAATTTCCTTTGTTACCCAAATAAAAATTGACACAAAGACTTTTCCTCAAAACTGGAAATGACTTGCAACTTATTACAGGTCTTTGGATAATCCTATATGGTTACAATATTCTTGCTCTTAGACCTTCTTACTTGGGCTCAAATGATGAAAGACAGACAATGTAAACTTATCCTCCCTTCTCCTTAATGTCAAATATAATTTCTTGAAGAAATTATACAAATTGAAACTTTATATTAACTGTCTGCTCCTTACAATCATTAATATGGGCTTTGCTTTCTAAAGTTCTTTCCTAGGAGTGTCTCCCTGGAACTATTCATTTCAGTTAGAAGAGGGAGTTAACTTCAAACACTGGGATATATCCCCACCTAAAAGAGGCATCAAGGAAGCACTGCTTTCTAACTTTCTAGCAAAATAACATCAAATTTTCTGCACTAACTATGATATAACCATGAAAAATTTATTTCTCTGTTAAATTATGAATATTCTGATATATATCTAGAGCTGTGCTATTTAATATCATAGCCACCAGCCACATCTGTATTTAAATTCCATTAAAATTAAGTAAAATAAGTAAAATAAAAAATCAGTTCGTTGATCATATTTCAAGATTTCAATACTAACATATGGCTAGCAGCTACCATATTGTGGATGATGATACAATTGGTATTGTTTTCATCCTTGTAGAAAGTTCTGCAAAATAATACTTTTAGAGAGAACTAAACACTATGTAAGGCAGCATCTACATTGCTTCACGGTTAAGAGTGATGAATATGGAATATTATGAAAGTTAATTCAGTTAATGTGGACGGCTACTTGCCTGTTCTTTCCTTCTCTCCTTCCCTCCATGCTTAATTTTCCTGAATCTGAACATTTGTGTTGATGAGGAAGATAGTCCCAGAGTAAAACATTCATTATTAGGTCAGAACTATTCAACAAGCTAAAACAGCTCCATATATAACTTTCGGTATACACCACATGAACACAATTAGCAAAAACTTAACTCCTAAGGCCAGCTTCTTTTTTTAAGTCCTTTCCTTATCCATTACTGTAACTGCTGAATGCTTCTCATACTACATCACTGCATCTTCTAGGTTTTAGTTTTATTTACCAAGTGCCATGACCCATTGTGTAATCACAAAAATCTGAGCATATCCTCACCCCACCCCACCCCACTCCATCTCCACCTTCCATCTTGACACTTCAGCCATATGTACCAAAAACAGCTAATGAAAATAAGTGGAAGAAACTTTCAAATGTGAAGACACTCTAATCACTTACCAATAAAATGGTTTTTCTAAAGAGGAATTATCCCTGACAGTTGTTACCACTTCCTTCTTCTTGAACAATGAAACCTTGGATAATGATCCATTGTAAGTATATAATGGATCAAAAAATTTCCATAGGAAGGAGGGGTTGTGACTGAGAAGGAGTACAAAGGGACTTTCTAGAGTGTGGTATTATTCTATTTCTTGACCCTGGTGGATTTTACATGAGTATTTCACTTCCCATGCTCTGAAACAAAACTACAGGACATTGGAGAGGATCTTGGGTCACATCCCTAAAGAAGGAAGCAAGAGTCACAGAACCCACAGAGCCTTCAATCTCTGGGGGTTCTGAGATAGGGGGTATCTGGAAGAATGCCACATGTTTTCTAAAGACTTATCAGCTAGAGAAGTCACCCAAAGGTAGCAGTTCTTTTATAGCTCTCAGGCATGTCCTTGTAGAGACAACATTAGTATTACGTAACTCAAGTTTTATGCCCCCCAATAATTCACTGATGGTTTTGTTTTCTATATTTCGTATCTTCCCTTTCAAATTTCTTTTCACTCACCTCTCTATTTTACGAGACTTACCTCCTAAACACTCATATATGCACCTCTGTTTCACCCTGGCAAGCCCACTCAGCTTGCTCTTGGCATTGCCAGCTCCAAAGCACAGCTGGCACTATAGCTCTTTTCTTACCCTTGAGATCAGGGCTGAGGAGCCCATCTCTTAAGTCTGCCTCCCTAAGCAGAGCAGTTTTTGTTTTTAAATTCTGCTGGGCAGATGGAGGAGGACTTGGGTGCTCTATATACAAAAGTGATCAGCCCTACTCCATACTCCTTTATAGGCCAGCTGAAACTCTGGGCAGAACTATTCAATGGAAACCAGTAAGTTGGTGTTTTCTTAATAAAAATAAAAATGTTCCCAAGAAAATATTTTTAAACATTCACTTTAAAAAAAAAAAAGGATTGTATCATTTTTTTCCTCCCCTTCCTGAATGGCTAGGGACTTAAAATAATCCAGTGGAATTTACTGCTCATCTTTTATACTTACTCAGCTTAACTAATGTTTCAGTAAATTTTTCACAGTTGATTGCAACTCGGCATAATAGATGGATGAATTGATGATAAGAAAAGAAGTAGTCTAGCAGCATACGATCATAAACGTCATCTTTGCCCTGAAGGTTAAAGATGATAAAATGGTTGCACTTAAATTGTATAATAAATTAAAGAGCATATTTTGTGCAAATGTAATAAGCTTAACTAAAAAGCTGATTAAATATTTAAATTGTATAAGAATCTAGTTTTAAATTCCAAGTTTCTAGTAATGTTATTAAGATCTTAAAATTGTCACAAGTTTATTTTCAGTGTGCTATCAATTAAAATTACCCATTATTTCTATATACTTTAATAAAGTAAAATTACTGTAGAATTTTAAAATTTGACACTTTAGCTCTATAGACATAGCATCAAGAAGAGTAAATTAAATTTGATTTTTGAAATAGATTCCAAACTATTTCTGTAATGGTTAGTACGATATCCATTATTTTTAATATTTTATCTTATAAGGACTTAAGTATATTTAAGATCCAAAGATAATGGGCAAGGAAGAATGTGAATGAAGGGGGTTAAGAAAAGATCAAGGGGAAAAATCGTTGAAACATAAACTATCCTGTGTCAATGTACCTTCTCTCTGTAATTTGGAATTAGCATTATTTTTAGAATAAGTTAGAGGTCAAGAATCATATCACAAATGAGAAATCTATCAATCAATGCTATTAAGCTTATGTAAAAGGAATATAATTAAAGGGTAGTAAAAGAAGTCATTGATTATATGGCGACATTTAAACAATAGTAAGTACCTAACATGATTTTCAAGTTTAGATATATAACCCAGTTATAATTTAGCCTAGTGACAAATACTAAGGCTATCAGGCTATTTTTTGAAGGGAAAAAAACTTACTACTTGTGCTTATTGTTGATTTTGCAAATATCCAATCAACATTTCAGAGCACTACAAGGAAAAAGTCCAAATGAATCTAATCTTCTTAGGAGCCACAAAATGGTCATTTAAATTAATATAACTGCCAGAGGGGAAATTTTAAATTACTGTGTACTACAGAAACATGGTTTTCCTGGCACCCCAACATACCTTACTGGTTTCCACCATTGTGGGCAAGAGGCACATATTGAGTTCAGGGCGCGGAGGCCGAATATTGCTTTTCCCTCCTATTAGCTTGATATTTTCTCGACAAGGAAAATAAGGTCCAAGAGACACTAAGACATTAAAAGTGTACAATAAGAATAAATGGAAAAAATAAAATCTCCATGTTTCAGTGTGCAGAAAGATTAAATGCCAACCATATTCAAGTAGTGTGCTAGATGAATACATACTTGGTATATTACTGTGATGGTAAGTACAATGGTTGTGCTGCAGAAATGGAACCAGAGTATGAAGAAAGTCATGGGGACTTAAAAGCACGAGTTCCTTGAGGACGTCTGAAAATAAAACACAATTTGGGCATTAAAAAAATTGGAGCATGTCTAACTGCCAGTTTCAAATTCACAAATACTATTAGGGTGACAGCCTGCAGTGTGTCAGCTGAAAAGTTTTAATTAGTCTAAAACTTAAGTTCCTGACCTAGGAGAAATGCTATCTGACCTCCAAATTTAGATCACCAGAGTTACTATCCATGACAGGGCCATCATTTAGAAAGCAACACTTATATTTAAAACTTTCTAAAAATATATTTTCTTTATCC